AAAATAACTAATCAACACACCTAATTGAACTCAAATAATAATCAAACACGTGATTGAAACAAAACCTCTAAAACTCAATCAACACTCTCAATCTCAATAAAACTCTCAAAATCTGATACAGATTTGAAATGTAAGCTCTCGTTTAATTGAGAGTGTTGATCGTCAACGGCGAGATCGTCTATTGTTGACTGAGGGCGGGATTGTTGGTGGCGAGATCTTCAGATTTCGATATCGTCTTCATTGATTTTGGAGACCATCTTCACTGATTCAAATATATGAGATCCGTGTATATATGAGATCAGATTTTCAAATGTATGATATATATATATATATATATATCTATATATGTGTGTGTGTGTGTGTGTGTGTGTGTGTGTGGAAGGGCAATATTGTCACAAAAAAAAAAACAAAAAAAAAGAGAAATTATGGAATGTCCTTATTGAGCAACGCACCTCCTTAGGGGCTTTTTGAAGTTAAATTAATTGAGTTGTCTTTTACCTTAAAAAAAAAGGCCCAAAAGGAGGGGTTTCACCAAAATACCCCTAAATTGTAACTCTTTTTTTCTTCTTTATTTTTGGTTATTTATTTTCTTCTTTATTTTTAGTTATTTATTTTGAACGTCTATGTAAAACTGTTAAATGCAATTTTTATTTATGAAAAATATTTGAGAACTCTAATTGAGCACTTACAATCATCTCCCAATGATATAGAATGGGCCATGTTAAAAGGCGGACCCATACTCCTCATCTTTCTCTTTATTCTCTCTTTTTTCCACCTCATTAGAGGCCAAAATGAAGGTCATGTATTTGGAAAATGTAACACCACTTTTTATTTATAGTCTATTAAATAAAAGTACATTAAAAAAAATTTAAAAATTAATTATCTAAAAGTTCAAATGAATACTTTTAACTTTTATTTTATAATTATCAATTTTTAACTTAATTTAGGGTAAAGCACTAATAAATCCCACATTTAGATCTTATACACTATTTAGTCCTACCTTTTTTCTTGTAAACTAACAAGTCTTATTTCAATGTTAATGACAGTTTTTGGACATTATTGCACTGCTTGTTTCTCCCAGATGTGAGGGGTAAAAAGGGGGTTTCATTGATGTGAAAATTACAAATCTTTCCAAAAGCTTACTGAAGAGTTTTTTTGGTTTCCCTCCTAATTGATCAAAACGGAAGAGACGAAGATGGCAAGTTTTGCGTTTGCAATGTTAGTGTGGTGAAAACCCTACATTTTTACAGAAAACGTTTCAGGTAATGTGAACTCATCATTACGACCTACACAAATTAACATTCGGTTTTCCTCCCAAACCCTAGAAATAAGAAAACCCTCTTCTGTAAGTGAAATTGCGTCATCGATACACAACGGAAGTGAATAATTTTGTGGTCGTGGTTGACTTTAATGACATCACTCCAGCAATATTCGAGGTTTCATTCACTCATCGTCGGCCTCTGCGGCTGTGTTAGTGAACGATGGTGTTAGTTATGTAGCCCCCAATGTCGATTTCCTTGTTATTCTATTTGATTCGGTTTGTGTGTTCAACGTTAGAGTGTGTTTTTGTTCTTGACGATATGTAGTAGTGTTAGTTACTAAATAGTGATTTAGTAGATGTTAATGGATGGGTGGATTTCAAACTGTATTGAGAGTATGGTCATGTAATGGCTAATCGCTTTTGTGGTTGGTGTTCTGGTAATGTAAATTTATGTCTGACATTAGATTGTTGTGGTGTATTTTGGCATCAGTTTAATTGTAATGCGATTGGTTGTATTGGTTGTGTTGTTATTTCCCCTATTTGTCAGTGGTATATATGGTGGAGGTGATGTGAAATGATAATGACATCAATGTTAGTTAAGTGTAATATTGATAATTTACATGTTAATGAAATGCAATGTTAGTCGCATTTGTTCATTCTGTTGTTCTTTTGCTGAATGGTTGGGTCCCATTTTGGTTGGGTTTGTTTACGGATGTGTTGGTTTGTGGTTTAAATTGAATTAGTGTCAGGCAGTTTGAATTGCAATGTTAGTCGCACTTGTTTAGTGGGTTTTGTCCTTATGTTGTTAAATGGTTGGATCCCCTTTTGGTTGGTTCGTTTACGGATGTGTGGCTTTGTAAAATAAATTACATCCCTGTTAGGTAATATGTGATGGCAACCACATCCATGTTGGTAAAATGTTTGACGTAGTGGTATGTCGATTGGACGAATGACATTTAGATATATGCTGGAATAAAATGGCACTCCATGACATAATGCTATCATCATTAACACTGCATCGACCGAAAATTAGACAATGCAACCAGCAACCACATTCATGTTGATAAAATGTTCAACGTAGTGGTATGTTGATTGGGCAAATGAAATTTAGATATATACTAGAATTTATGTGCGATTGGTTGCAAGGGGTGGATAGCGTGATAACCCGTAATGGTCTCTTTAGTTTTTTATTTGTAAAATTTTGTGTTCATGTTGGTAAATCTCTTTGAAAATATAGTGTCTTGAAACACCACAAACGAGGTAATGTCATCCACCCACAAATTACTCCACTAAATCCCCACAAAGAAAATAGAAACGTAAAAATTTACTTTATTTACACACCCCCAACATAAAAATAAAAAATAAAAAATAATCCAAACAAAATTACACGCAAGGGCAAACAAGTAAACTCTCAAATCAAGAAAATACAATATATCCAAAACAAAAAAGAATAATTGATTTGACAAAAAAAAATATAAATTTAGAATTAAATGGAATAACTTTTCTTCAAATAAAATTTATGAGTAATTTTTTCCTTAATTTATTGGGAGAATAAATTACTTTTACTTTTATTTTATTCTCTCTTTTATTTAATTACTTGACAGTGGCGCAAATTTTAAGTAAACCCCCTTAATTTATATGTATGTTAATATTGGCAATTCAGACTCATATTTTTTTAATTTAACAGTTATTTATACCAAACCCACACCCCCCGCCCCCATCTATTAGTGAATTTATGAATTTGTACATTTCAATCGCTTAATTATAAAAATATATTGTTTTTTATCTGAACTTACCACCTCTAAAAAGATATATTTATATGACTTTTAAAATTAAAGAAGTCAATATATACAAATTTATAAAAAAAGAAGAATAAAATAATATTCATTAATAATGGAAGGAATGTTAGTATAAGTAGATAAACAACAATGTTAGGTGATTCGAAAAATCATGATTTGAATGGTTTGAAACATCCAAAATGACGTTTTTTATATAAAACGACGTCGTTTTAACACATTCGAACTACTCAAAACACAAAAATTCGGGTTACTAGACATTTTGCGTAGAGAAATGTTTAATCCACACAAAACAGAGTCCCCCGACTAGCCCGAATTTACTGGCACCAATTTTGCAAACACTCAACCCACGCTCCTCTCGCTCTCAAGCATTTTTCTCTCGCTCTCACACAGACCCACGCTCCCCTCTCTCTCTCTCCTTCCTCACTCCTCTGTGTCACAGCACTCCTCTCTCTCTCTCTTCTATCTTCTCGCCGACGACCAAACACTGTCTCTCTCAGCAAACAATCCCATTTTTGCATATATAAAGTGGGTTTCTATCATCGCCAAAATACAGTTATTTCCTTTTCCACTTGTTCATGGCTTAATATCTTCTGGGTTTTCTTCATCTTCCCATTTCCATCTCTCTCTCTCTCTCTCTATCTCTCTCTCTCTCCTGTGTTTAATTGTTTGGTTTCACTCTTGAAATGCCCTTTTTGTGAGATGCTCTGAATCTCACACCATGATCCTTTCAGTTTCCTAATTCCATTTTTTAGATCTCTTTTTGGATTCTCCAAACTTTCCCAATCTAAAACAACTCATTTTTCAATCATGAAAAGTAAAGTGTGTGTTCCTTTAAATAAATCCCAAACTGGGTTTTTTTGTTCTATTTTCAATCTTTGATTGCATTCCTCTCAAACAGTAAAATCTCATTCCTCAAACCAGTTAACCCTATCCAATTCTTGTTTCTTTTTTCAATCTTGAAAAAGTAAAGTGAGTGTTTCTTTTAAAAAAAAATTCCAAACTGGGTTTTGTTCTATTTTCAATCATTGCTCAAAAAGTGAGTTTCTATTCTAGTAAAATGGCAGCTCTGGGACAGCTTTAGAGAAACCCATTTCTCTATTTACAAATAGAGACTACTTCCAGTGGCGTGGTTCATGAAAGGGTGTGGGTGGTTCAAGGTGGTGATTGATGAATCTGGGAAGGTGAAGTTTTGCATGGCGATCCAGGCACCGGCAGAGAAGGAAGAAGGAGAAGAAGAAAGAAGAGGCAGGAGGAGAAGAGAGTGCGAGAACCAGGGGGGTTTGGTTTGGGAGCTTGATTCCACACACTTCAGCCAAGGCTGCGGCCTGTGGTCTGGCCTGTTTTAATTAAACAGTCGGATTCCCCTTGTCCGTACAAGTTCTGAGTCAATTCGCCTTGTCTGTCCAAGTTCTGAGTCGATTGTTCGCTGCCCGAGGAAGACCCCGAGAAACCGTTCCCAGTCCATCCCCTGCCTGGATCAGCCCGCCAAGGCGGGCCTTGGGTCAAAAAAGAGGGGCAGTGCCCCGCCTTCAATTCACGAACTAGGATTTTGCTTCAGATTGATTAATTTTTTTGGCCTTTCACGTTGCCTGAGTTCTTGATCCCTAGGAAATAACTGTTGCCTTCAAAGTCCAACCAATGCAGAAGGTTCACTTTCCACCATTTTGTAACATTTATTTAAAATAAAAATTAAAAAAAAATTTAAAAAAAAAGAAAAAAGAAAAGAAGCATTTTATGGATCATTCTGACAGAAAAATATACAGTACACATACAAAGTAAATTAATATTTTGAGATTCATTCCATCAGAAAATTGCAGCAACCATTGTCTTCGTCTTGGCAGCAATACAATTGTAAGATCAAAATATGTGAAAATGGTTCCCATGTAAAAAATAAAATAAAAATAAAAAAAGGCATCAAGTTTGAAAGTAGGAAAATATTATATAAATCAACAAATCTTTGAAAACTTTTCACTTACTACGTAACATGCAGTAACAAAACTTTAGTATCTGAAATGGGACCAACTAAAATAATAGTGTCACATATGTGAGTAAGAAGAATTATTTGTTGGTTTATATAACATTACTCATACAAATACTCATCCCCACATCAAATAATGCATTTTCTATTTCCCAAATTTCAGATATTGAAAAAAATTAAACGATAGAAACTACATGAATCGACGGTTAACGATAGAAACTACATAAATAAGAATGGGGCAACTCGACTGAATCAAAACAGTAATATTGAAAACCTCACTTGAAGTTGTGCACTCTCTTCGCTGCGCTGAGAGAATTAGATAGTAGCATTGCTATAGTCATTGGACCGACTCCCCCAGGAACAGGAGTAATGGCTGAAGCAATTTTGCAAGCCTCCTCGTAACAAACATCTCCGACCAAACGATAACCCCTTGCGCTTTTCGCATCCTGTCACAGAAGATGCACAAAGAATCAGCACAATTCAGTCCAGCATTTTCCCATTCATTCCCCCCAATCCCCAAGTGCAGATATATTTCAATACATCTCTTACTGAACCTTATGGTGTCTAAACCATAATTTCTTCTCTTTCAATGATTAAGAAAGCAAAAATAAGACAAATTTTGTGTGCACGTGTATGTGTGTGTGGCTGTGAGACACACAGAGAGCTTGTAAAAATAGTTCTGCTATGAACACAAAAACTTATCACAAAACCCAACACAGAATATACATTAATGGATAAGACTATATAAAGATTGTTGGTGGGATCCTCATCTAGAAAACTTATCCATCCATTTACATTTTGTGTCCGGTTTTATGATTAAGAAAGCGAAAATAAGACAACTTTTGTGTGTGCATACATATGGGTGTGTGTGTGTGTGTTGTGTGTGTGTGTGTGTGTGTGTGTGAGAGAGAGAGAGAGAGGGCTTGTGAAAAAAGTTTTGCCACAAACACAAAAACTTATCCCGAAACCAATACATGAATAGATAAGATTTTATGAAGTTTGTTGGTGGGTGGGATTCACATCCAGAAAATCCTATCCATCCATACACATTTTGTGTCCAGTTCTATGATTGGTTTCTGTGTTCTTAGACTTAATTCTTGTGAAAATGTGATGTAAGCATGACAAAAAGCTTGGGAAAGACCCTGCTCACCTCAACTGGATTAATTCCAACATCAATAATAACTGCACCCGGCTTTATCCAACTACCCCGCACCATGTTCGGCATGCCTACCGCAGAAATGATGATATCTGCTTGTCTTGTGATCTCCTCTGGATTCTTGGTTCTTGAGTGGACAATACTGACAGTAGCATCTTCCCTCTACCAATGAGAGAGTACATCAACGAGCAAAAAAAGGGGGGAACAGAATTCAACTAGAGAGAAATAACATCAATCATAGCTTGGACAGAGATTAACATAAAAGAAATGCAGTAAATATTATATTTTTTGCAGCAAAAGGGCAGCTGGCATTCCAACAATATTGCTCCTGCCAATCACAACAGCCCTCTTTCTCTCATTCCTCAAACCAGTTAACCCTATCCAATTCTTGTTTCTTTTTTCAATCTTGAAAAAGTAAAGTGAGTGTTTCTTTTAAAAAAAAATTCCAAACTGGGTTTTGTTCTATTTTCAATCATTGCTCAAAAAGTGAGTTTCTATTCTAGTAAAATGGCAGCTCTGGGACAGCTTTAGAGAAACCCATTTCTCTATTTACAAATAGAGACTACTTCCAGCGGCGTGGTTCATGAAAGGGTGTGGGTGGTTCAAGGTGGTGATTGATGAATCTGGGAAGGTGAAGTTTTGCATGGCAATCCAGGCACTGGCAGAGGAGGAAGGAGAAGAAGAAAGAAGAGGAAGGAGGAGAAGAGAGTGCGAGAACTAGGGGGGTTTGGTTTGGGAGCTTGATTCCACACACTTCAGCCAAGGCTGCGGCCTGTGGTCTGGCCTGGTTTAATTAAACAGTCGGATTCCCCTTGTCCGTACAAGTTCTGAGTCAATTCGCCTTGTCTGTCCAAGTTCTGAGCCAATTGTTCGCTGCCCGAGGAAGACCCCTCGAGAAACCATTCCCAGTCCATCCCCTGCCTGGATCAGCCCGCCAAGGCGGGCCTTGGGTCAAAAAAGAGGGGCAGTGCCCCGCCTTCAATTCACGAACTAGGGTTTTGCTTCAGATTGATTAATTTTTTTGGCCTTTCACGTTGCCTGAGTTCTTGATCCCTAGGAAATTACTGTTGCCTTCAAAGTCCAACCAATGCAGAAGGTTCACTTTCCACCATTTTGTAACATTTATTTAAAATAAAAAT